TAGTTTTCTTTTTCTCGCTTTTGGCAAAGAAGTTCTCCTTCCAGGTGTATATATTTTTTGCTTGGCCGGACATCATGATGAAATTCTGCAAAAACCTGACGGGCCCCTGCCCTGCCCCTACCTACCTACCTACCTACCTACCTTACTTATGGGAAACTAAAAAAGAAATCACGGGGTGGGTGAAGGTGGGGTACTATACCAACTAAAGTGATGGCTGGTGGTACTATCCTGCAACCACAGTCCTTCCTGTGACATGGCAACTCTCAAGCCCTACAAAGATCAACGACTTGGGGAGGGTTGACATCGTGATTTGGGCGGAAAAATTCTTTTTCTGCTGTGAAAATTCCGGCGTGAGAGAGGGAAAAACCCGACGGGAGGGCCCAGACCCTACCCTACCTACCCCATCATGATGTCCGGCCAAGCAAAAATAATATACACCTGCTCCTTCCGACTTTCCTTCGGGAACTTGCTGGATCGTGCTCGATTTCTCCTCCGAACGGCTCGCCCAATGGCGCAGGACAAGAAGCTGAAGGATGCGATCCATAATAAGCTCGTCGAGACGGGCGAGTACGACCGGTGCGGCAGAGCCCTCGGCGCTGCCACCTGGCGCCCAGCCCCGCTCTGAGCGCGCGTCGGCGCCCCAGGCTCAAGGAGCTGCTGCGGCAACGGCTGGTCGAGTCGCAGTGGCGCGACAGCCTCAAGCAATACACGATGGGTGTGGCCGACCCCACCCCATCCCACCACCCGCCGGCTCGGTGCCCGAGCGGCCGGCCCTCGTCCAACAGACCTGATCAAGAAGAAGGGCGGCGATACACCATTTACCGTCGAGCAGCTTACGCATGAGATCACGCCGCAAGGAAGAGGTGCGCAGATAGAAGGCTGCAGTTGGAGGGTCACAGGATGACCGCGACTCCCCCGTTCCGCCGCAGAAACCGTGCCGGACGACGTCAAGTCGGAGCTCCTCGCCGAGATCCGCCGGTTCGTCGAGGGCCTCGACTCATCCGTGCAGGCGGGAGTGGAGTCTTAGCCTGATCTTCCTCCTAACTTTTGTGTGATGTAACTCCGTCTGGGACAAACTTGACACGCGCGGGCGAGGGAGCGAGAGGATACACGAGAGCCGTGAGGTGTGTGGCCGTGTGTCTCTGCTCACACACACCTGCTGCCTGCTGCGTGCTGGCTGGGTGTCGGCCACTGGCTGCGGGGTCGTTCTATCAATCGTCCCGTCTTCTCTCTGCTCCTCGCCGCGTCGTGGTGCCTCGCCGTCCCAGATGCGCAGGGAGTGTGCAGCCTGCTCCGCAACTCATCTATGCCAGACTCCACGATAATGGATAATTGTTAATTGATGCGGAGCCTCCCCGAAAAAAGCCGTCCCGCTGCAGCAGAGCGCACACACAGCGCAGACGAGCGCGAGACATAAAAAAAATTGTTCCAGCCTTAGCAAGCAAAAGGGAGCACACACGACTTAGCAAGTCCGCACTAGCGACTGCCACTCGCCTAACCATGCCTCGTCACAAGTGCTCTCCCAATCGCGTACAGGCACACACACACTCCGCCTGTTCTCACATCTCACCCAAACACTCTATCACACCCTTGCCTCCCTGCCAGAGCGAGCTAGATTCTCCCCGCCTCCCTCCCGCCTCTGCCGCGCGCCTTCTATGGACGTCAAGTGCAGCACCTACAGTTCCGGACGGGCATTAAGAACCTCTAACGTTAAGAACCTGAGGCTCATATTTCGGCCGGATCCCTAAGAACTCCCTAAGAACCTGAGGCTGGGCCAACGCCTGCAGCCGGCGCCCCTGCCCCCGCGGCCGCAGCCGCAGGGGCAGCTCACGGCAGCGAATGACTCTCTTGTCACGCCATGCGCGAACTTACTGTTCCAAACTTCCAAACTGTTTTAAGACCCATTTATTGATTTTTAATCGAAGCCGAAACGGTTTAAAAAACCATCCACCCGGTTATAGGTCGGTCGGGGTCCCGGGGGTCGATTTTTGGAAGTGAATAGCACGGCATAGAAACTGCAAAACAAGGTGCGTTAGCTCGAAAGAAACACATAGGCACCCACATGGGTTGCCATCCCTCAACACAAGTGGCCCACGGTTCACATTCACACACCCGGCCGCACCGCTCACGCACGCAAATGGCTCTCGCACCACCTCAACACACGCGCACGGGGGCGGAGGACGCGCGCTAGTCACTCCTCCTCGCCCTCCTCGCCCTCCTCCGCCTCCTCCGCCTCCAGCTCAGACGCCGCATCGAGCTCCGCCTCGTACGCGTCGATCAAGTCGTCGTGTATCTCTGACTCTGGCTCCCACGTCGACACGTCCGGCGGGTACCCCTTCCAGAGGATCAAGTAGTACGTCATCTCGACCCGCTTCTTGCCCTGTGAGGCGAGAAGAGAGGTGGTCGGGCACGTGAGCGATGGAGTGGCAATAAGCAAGGGCAGGTGCGAGTGTGAGGGCGCAAGCACCTTGCCGACCGTCTCCACCTTGCTGTCGAGAATGCGCTCGATGTCAAACTTCTCACTCGCCTCCCACTGCCAGCCGTTGAGCTCACGCAGATCGACCCTCTTCCTCTTCTTCTTCTTCCCGCCGCCGCCGCCGCCGCCGCCGCCGCCGCCCTCTTCGCCCGCCACGCGCCGCTGCCGCACCTTCCGCACCACGCCGTCGCCGTCGCACCCCGAGTCGCCGTCCTCGAGGTCGTTCGCCTCGACGCCATGCGCGGCGAAGAGGAGGTTCTGCAGCTGCGTGCAATAGTCCGCGCGGTTCGCCTGCGTGACAGTGAAGCCCGTCTTCCCCGCCAGCTTGAAGGCCTTGAGCTGGTCCTACAACAAACGAGAGCCGTGAGTAGTGGGGCACTAGTATACCGCTCAACAGCGTCCGAGAAGCGCCTGCAAGCCGGCGATCGCCAGCTTCTTCAGCTCTGAGTAGCGCCGCACGAGCGGCAGCTGCGCGATGCGCGCGTTCTCGGCCGCCTTGGCCGCCTTGCGCGCCTTCTTGCTGCCCAGCTTCTCGTCGCGCTCGGCGCGCTTTGCGCGGCCCGCCGCGACCAGCTGCGCCTTGAGCGTAACGCGTCTCGCCCGCCCCGCCGCCTTTCGGCACGCCGCAAGCATGGTCTCGGCGACCTTGAGCCCGCCGCGCTCATCGATCTCGCCCGTCAGCCAGCCGGCTTGGTTGTTAAAGCGCCCGAGCGAGTCGCCGGCGCGCGACTCATTGCGCTGCCGCTTGTGCCGGTCGTCGCTGACGCGGCCGACGGCGTGCAGCCGCTCAACCGGCGTGCTCGTCGCCTGCAGCGCGTCGTACTTTGCGCGCAGCGCCGGGGTGATGTTCGCCGAGCACAGCTTGCCGGTCTTGGTGATCGAGCCGTTCGTGGCGACGAGGCCCGCCGGCATCCACTCCGCAGCGTGGTTGCAGACCGCCCGGGACATCGCGCCGAATGCCGCCGTCAGCAAGCGCGTCACCATCGGGTCGTCGGCCGCTGCGGCGCGAATGCGCACCATATCGAGGCGATGGCGCTCGGCGCGGCGCGCCTGCGTTGGAGTTGGCGCGGTAGCGGCGGTGGCGGCCGCCGAAACGTCGCCGAGCTGCAGCTTGAGCGAGCCGTCGACGATGCCCGCGGGCGACGCGGCGGCCGCCTCAAAAAACGCGTGCGCCGCCGGCCACACGCGCGGGAGCACGTCGAGGACGTGCTTGTCCGCGGCTGGCTTGACCGCGCGGATCAGCGGCCAAAACACCGCGTCGCAGATCAGCGCCATGGCGCGCACCCCCGCCATGCAGGGCGGCGAGCGCGCGCCGGTGAGGATAGACTTGCGCAGCTTGCCGCCGCCGGCAGCCTTGAGCATCTCATCCTCGTCGAGGTAGGTCAGCATGGAGATGTCGTGCTCAGTGAGCAGCCGCTCCGTCGGCGCCGCGTCGAGGTAGAAGACGTACGCGCGCGAGCCGCAGATCGCGAGCACGTCCTCCACGTGCCCCACGAGATGCTCGAGCTGCTCCTCGAGGTCTGCCAGCCGCGCCTCCATCCACTCCTGCAGCTTGCGGCCGATGGCGTAGCCCTTGGTCGAGCAGAGCGCGACGTACTTGCTCACCTACGCGTGCGGCGCGGGGGGGTGCGGGATTGGCGCGCGAGTGGGAGTGATCTGCGGTGCGGGGTCGGGGCTGACGGTGCCTGGTAGATGAGCGCGCAGACAGGCGAGCTGAACCAGCCGACGCAGGTCCGCATCGCCTTGATCTTGTCGGCGTGCGCCGCGGCCTGCTCGTCGGTGAAGTTCATCAGCTCGCGCAGGATGGCGTCCATCGCCTTGCGCCCCTCCTCGAGGATGTTGACGAGCGCGTGCTCCGCACAGGTCGGGTCGTCGTCGCCCTCGCCCAGCCCGAGGACCAGCCGCGCAGCGAGCCGCGCCGTAGACGCCCGGTCGTTGCACGCGCACGTGGGGAGGAAGCGGCGCAGCAGCTCCGCCGCGCGCGCATCCGCGAGGCCGGCCTCCTCCATGAGCTTGATGACCTCCTCGATCGACTCGTGGTACGCCGACGCCTGCGCCTCGGCGGTCTTGCTCGAGGCCGTCGACAAATCGAGGGCGCGCAGCTCGAGTTTGCCGTTGACGCGCCGCGAGAGGACGGTGCCGATGCGCTCCATCTGCTGCGCCTCGGCGCCGTCGGCGATGTAGCAGCACGAGGACTCATCCGAGTTCATGAACTCCAGCAGCCACTGGCCGACCTGGAGCTTGTTGAGCTCGTAGGAGACGCCCGCCAGCTCCTTGCAGTGCGTCGCCTGCGGCGTCTCTGGCAGCCGCTTGACGACGGAGGTGCGCTTGCCGTCCACGATCGGGCCGGGGACCTTGATCTCGCGGTACGGCAGCTTGACCCCCAAGAGCCGCGCGAAGATCGGGAACAGCTTCGGGATCTTCTGCCGCGCGATGCCGAGGTGCATCACCGAGATGCACGCAAGCTCCGTCTCGGCGTTGAAGTGGTTGCCCAGCTTGAAGCGCGCCTTGGTGGGCTCGGCGATGGCCTTGAACTTTGCGGCCTCGGCCTGCGCCGCCTCAAGCTCGGCCTGCAGCTTGGCGCACTGCGCCTCCACCGCCTCCAGCTTCTCTGCCGTCGCGTCTCCGCGCCACAAGCTCGCGCGGGCCGCCCGCTCCTCCGAGAGCAGCCGCTGCGACACCGCCAGGTTGCGCTCGACGAGGTTCACGTCGGAGAGCTTGCGCTGCGTCACCTTGCGCCGCGCACTGAGCTCGGTGATGCGCCGCGTGCTCGCCTGCAGCTGCTCGAGCAGCCCCGAGACGCGCATCGAGCGCAGCGCGTCGAGCTGGTCCTCTAGCTGCGCGAAGAGGCCGTGCAGCTGCGCCGCCTCCTCACACGCGTCGTCCCGCTGCGCCTCGGCGACCTTGGCGCGCCGCTCGGCCTCTGAGGCGATGGAGCCAAAGTGCGCCGCGGCCTCCTTCTCCTGGCTGCGGCACCGCAGCTCCGCCGCAGTCTCGGCCTCGCGCGCCGCCGCCTTGAGCCGCCGCACCTCCGTGCAGAGCCGCCCAGTCTCCTGCCGCTCCGCCTGCAGCGCTGCGTCGAGCTTCGCGTACGCCGCGGCGGAGCGCCGCCGCTCGTCGGCGAGCGCGGCGTCGACGGCGGCCTGCTGGCGGCGCGCCGCCAGCTCGAGCTCGACACGCCGCTCGTCGGCGAGCGCCTCGCTCAGCTGCCGCCGCCGCCGCTCATAGTTGAGGAGCAGCGACACCTGCCGGAGCTGCGACGTGCCGCGCCCACGCGGCGGAGGCGCGCCGCGCACCTCGGCGGCGATCAAGCCGAGGACGTCGCGGCAGCCCTCCAAGAGGTGGACGGCGCTGTCGGCGCCGAGGCGCGGGTGCAAACCCTCGGCAAACGCGCGCAGCTGCGCCGTCACGTCGAGCTCGGCATCGAGCGAGGACGCGCCGCCGCCGCCGCCGCCGCCGCCGCCGCCCGTGTCGGCCGCGTCCGAAAGGGTCTGGAGAGGAACGTGCGCCTGCCGCACGAGTTGGTCGAGTTCGCGGTCGGCCTCCGCCGGGTCCTTCCGGCGAGAAACGGCCGTCGAGCGCCGCTTAAGCGCGCGCTCCACGTCCGCCTTGTACGCGGTCATCCGGCGCTTGTACTTCACGAAGTTCGCCTTGGTCTCCGGCGTGGCCAGCGCCGGGAGCGCCCGCGTCGGCGCGAGCGACTCGTGCCCGGCCATCGCCTCGACCCACCTGGTAAAGATGAGACCCGCATCGCCGGCGCCGCCCCCGCCGCTGGCATATTTGCCGGCCAGGCCGACGAGGGCGTAGGCGTCGATGAGGAGCAGGCCGCCCACGGGCCTCGCCAGGGCCGCGGCGGGCCCTGGCGACCCCTCGAGGGACGCCAGGGTGGACAGGGCCTCTGCCCTAGCAGGTTCTGAAAAGAGAGCGGTCGCCTCGCCGATGCCGCGGAGCTTCTCCTTGGAGGTGTGGAGGTCCTCAGGGGTCGCGACCTGCGCATGGCTCGTCGGGAATGGTCACCAGCGTCGTGTGCGACCTCTCTCCGGAGGCGTGCGACCGAAGGGAGAGCGGTGAGGCGAGGCTGAAGTCACAGCTGAAGCAACTGGATTTCAGTTGCTGACAGTTGTGGGCGATCCCGCGCGAACTGACGGCAGGTAAGCCGGCAGGTGGGGGGCGGGGGTGTGCCGGGTGGATCCCCAAGCGGGCGAGCCGGGCCCATGCATAGTTCGCGCGCGGGGGGCGCGCGAGCATGGGAAAGACGCACCTCCATCGTGCTTGCTACCGGCGCTTTTTTGGCCGTTGGCACCATCGTTGATGACTTGATTGCGCGGGAGTCGAATCCCAAATTCTCTCCGCTCGAGAGGGAATTTAATTGTTTTGGGGGATTCCGACCGACCTACCGGTTAAGAACCTGAGGCTCGGCCCCCGACGGACCGCCGACTTAGCTAAGAACCTGAGGCTGGGCGAAGAACCTGTGCGTTCTTAATGCCCGTCCGGAACTGTAGGGGGAGAGAGGGGGTTTGCCCTGGTAGGGAGGTGGCGAGGCCGCGCACTGCAAACCCAGTGTGAGGAGTGGGGGAGCTGGGACAGGGCGTGTGCGCCTCTGATCTGTCATGGTCTAGTGGCCGATAGGATCCTCCCTTAGGCAGCGATGGCGGGTCGGGAGAGGCCCGAGTTCAGCCCGCCACTTACTGTCAGCCTCTCTGACTGCCCAGGGTCTCACCACGATGCCGCCCGAGTAGAGGGGGTAAGGTGTGTAGAGTGCGGCTGTGTATGGAACCTCTCTCTCTGTGGATCCCACCTGAGCCCACTCGCGGTGCGAAGGCTCCTAATGCGGCAACTGAGCCCGCAAGGGTGGGTCACTAAGGGAGAGGTTACGTTGGATGATATGTTGTGTTGTAGGCAATAAAATGGTACCATATCAGGCAGTGAAGCATTAGTCGTCAATTTTGCAAGCCGGCTTGCAAAGCCGTTCGAGCACCTGATTCGAGCGAGTGGAGGCAGGTTCGAGACCCGGTGGGGGGGGTTTGGGGGGGTCGCCCGTCGCCCATCGGACCATCAAGGGATCCGTCAAATCCGTCGAATCTGTCGACATCTGTCGACATACTCTGGGCCGGCGCGGGGCCCCCCGGAGGCACCGTGCGCCGCGCCGCAGTGCGGAAACGGGGCTCCGGCTCTATGAGTCTCTATGAGCACCGACTTCCCGAATGATTACGGTTGATTAGATGGCAGATTTGGAGAGATCTCGAGGAGTACATACAGATAGACCCTCCAACCACCAGAAAACTCCAACCTGATCGGTCGTACTGACCGCCGACAGATCACTCCAGACAGCAGACAGGCCGACGTCTGCACGCGGCCGGCCGGGCGAGAGGCTTGACACGATCCGACCCTGCGACCCTGACGCTGCTGCTCTAGCTATCAGCCATGCACTGCTGACTGCTGCCACAATGTGCGACCTGTGCTGGCCCACTTGGCGGCCTTCCCGGTCAGTGGTGAGGCGCAGTTCAGAGCTGTCGATGGCGCGATGCCGCACTGGTCCCACATTGGTGACACGAGACCACTAAGTTTGCCGGTCCAAGAGAGAGGCACCGGCGCTGTCCTGAGAAGGTGCGTGGTCCCTCTTGACTGCCCATGCGCGCGAGGCTGTGTAGGCATAGCCTCGAGAGTGCCAGCAGCCAATCCGAGGTGACGCGCATTGCGCCAGAAGCGTGCACGCAGCTGGAAGGACACCTTCCTACTGGCCGTACGATCAGGTCGTCACTGAATGCTTGATACTAAGGCCGCGAGCTATGCAGGTGATCAATTGTGCATCATGGCACGATCAGCTGCGCCGACAGGCTGTCGCAAGGCGTGATAGCATGGCCGCAAGTACGCCGAATTCCCATGAAAACAAGTAAAAATGGCGAAAAAAGAAAAAAACTCCAAAAAATCGGCGCCTGCGGCGGGCCATGGGACCCCATCTCCCCCCCGCATGGACACCCTCTGGGGCCCCCGCGCCGGCCCAGAGTCGACATATCTGTCGCCAGCTGGCGGCTCACGCCGGCCGCTGCGCCAGAATTTTTTTTGTGCTAGGCAGGGTTGGTTGTGCCGGGCCGCCCCCGCGAGAGAAACTCGTCAGTAAAACTCTCGGGCGGCCCGGCTGTCTGAGGCTGAGCACGCAGTGGCAAAAGCCCGCGGCTCGTCGCCAAGGAGTTACGAGTTTTTTTAGAGCGCGAGACATAACACACAAGACTTCAGACGGCGTCGAGGCGGCGTGGATTGGGTCACAGCGCCGCGAGCTGCTTCTCGAGCCTCGGCCGACGCGCGTCGTACAATGCTTCTCGTCAGGCGTCAAGCTGCACAGTTCAGCGGACGTCACAGCACTCAGCAGCGATTGTCGTTCGCGGCGGCGACGCCATCTTACTGGTGTCCTCGCGTGGCGTTGTATCTCGCAGACGCGGGCCTTCTAACTCGCGGCCCGTGCTGGGTAGCACCACTTTTTCGCGCAAGCAGTCCCACCGCCATGAACAGCTCGTCGCTTGGCTTGGACATGTTGCGCCGGTCGACCTCGTGCAGGATGGAGGCGTCGTCGAGCTGTGGGGGTTGCATGTCGCCCGACCCAAAGCCGAGCAACCAAGCGGACGTGAGCTCGCTGCCGCCAACCAGGTGTACGCTGCGGACCGCGAGGCCCGCCGCCTTTAGAACGTGGGACGCGCCGACGTGCGTGTAACGGAAGTAGTCCAACGGCGCCTACTCAAAACGCGCGTGCGAGTGTGTACGCGCTGTGAGCGAAAGTGTGACTCGATCGGCAGATTCAGGAGGCGTTGTGGTACTTGGTGAGGAAGGGCGCATACAAGATGAGCAGCCCGCCGGGTCGGAGCATCCTAGGGGGTGTTGATACGGCCGGTCTTGACGCTGCGGGAGATGTCATGAGATTCACGGTCTAGCAAAGGCCTTTGCAGGTTGTACGCTGCCAGCTGAGGGCAGGCGAGGTGCTCGAACACACTGGCGCATAATATAACCTCAAAGGTGGCAGTAGGGGGCAGCGCGGCCTGTGCCACGCATAGGTCGCCGCGCACGCGCCTCGCGGGCGCATCGAGCTCCAGCCGACGCTTCTCCCGGAAGGAGAACCCCCACCCCTCGCACCCGGGAAGGAGGCGGGTGTACTCCTCGTCATCGTCCCATCCGAGGCAGCGGGACCCGGTCCTTACATGTGCTGCCGCCACGGAGCGCAAGTAGGCGCTCAGGCCGATTCGTTGCAAAACCACCCGGTTGCGATGCTGCCTCCAGTCGGTCACGCCCCACCCCGAAGGCACGCGCTCCCTCCCCCACTCGGAGAGGGGTAACAGCCCGTGAGCAAAGAGGATGTGGTGCAGCCGAGCAAAGACGTCTTGAGCAAGAGCGCTCGATCCGACCGTGCGCTTCACCTCCGAAAGAGCGCTCGATCCCGCCTCCCTTTGCAACTCCCGAGTTGTGTTTAGCGCCTGCAGCTCCGCGTCTAGGTCACGCAGGGTGGCAGCCGTGAATCCAAAGCGATGCAGGCCTGGCAAAGCTGGCACGTGACGGTGAGACATACCTGGCCGGCGGCAGCCGTGAGCACGGCTCAGTAGTCGAATAGCGGCCCGGCAGCACCCAAAACCCAAGTTCGCAACTACTGAGTATGAATCCGATCCAGACAGTATTACTCTTCGTCCCCCCTACGAAGAGAGAGAAGAAAAGTAGGAAGAAGAGGTTCCTGGTGCACAACACCCGGGGAAACGGGGAAACCCTTCGGAGTCGCTCCTCATCGCAAACAAACCCCATCAGTCAGCAGTCTTTCCACCGTCGGGTAGGTACGTACTTTTAGCTTAATGGGAGAAAAGCAAAAGGGAGAGGGGTGTCTTCTCTCTCTCTCTCTCTCTCTCTCTCTCTCTCTCTCTCTCTCTCTCTCTCTCTCTCCCTCCCTCCCTCCCTCCCTCCCTCCCTCCCTCCCCCCCTCCCCCTCCCCCCCCCCCCTTCTCTGCTACTATGTTCGTAAGAGCCACGTACACTGAAAGAGTAACGCCGGGCCCGCGGCGAGGGCGGTCGAGCGAGTGCATGCGCGGAGCTAAAAGGGCTTCGCCGCCCTCGCTCGCTCGCAGAGATCATGCGGCACCGACCTGTGTTTGACCTGCCTGGAAAAAGAAAGAACGAAACCCGAGGGATGGGAGGACGACAGGGCGGCGCAACAGGATTGACCTTGGCGATATCGGTGTCGAAACACCGCAAGAGAGAGAGTCTCTCTCAACACCGCTCTGACAGACAGCTTTAGGAATTCCCTATTGTGATGTTAGAGGTGGGTTAAGAGGGAGATTCGCGCGAGCTGCGGGACCGCCGGGACGGCGGGCGGGTGATTGCGAGCCGCCACGTTTGGCGACTTTTTGGCGAGAACTCCTACAAGGTTTTCCCCTCACAGGAAGCAAGGAGATCAGAGCGTGACTGAGCTGGTCTCTGCAATTTGCGCGGCCGGCCCTGAATTCCTAGTTCCGCCTCGCCGACCGACTGCCTCAACGAGCGACCCTGGAGCCGGCCCAGGACTCGACAGTCACGAATGGAGGCCGCCAGGATTGATGTGAAGGAGCTGACGAGCCCAGATGAACACGCAAGGCCACAGGCCCACTACGGCCGCAGGGCGTTGATGGCTGTGGCTGCGGCGAGCACCCTTGCCGTCTCCGCCTTTGGCACGGTTCTGCTGCTCCGCTCGCCGGCTGCCACGGGCGTCGACTTGGTGCACGAGTCTGTGGCCCGCAAGGTTCCGTGCCCAGCCGTGGCGGCGCTCTTGGCGAATGGCGACCTCGAGCATCTGTACGAGTACAAGTCCGCCGCCGCATCGCCGACCGGCAGGCCACAGCTTTGGCTGAAGATCGCGCAGGTCAAGGAGGCCGTCTCAAAGCTCGGCTTCGAGGAAGATGTTTCCACTGGCATCGGCAACGGAATGAAGTTCTCCGTCTTGAGCGAGGTCGCTCGTGAAGGCCACGCCTTTCCCACGTGGACCGACGGCGACGGCGACGTCCACCTCGACCTCCTCAACCACGAGGCGATGGGGATGGGGCACAAGGTTGACACAGCCATCCGGGACAACGCCGAGAAGCAGCCGTCCGAGCTTGCCTTCGCCGCTCTGATGCGCTCGCCGATGGTGGAGACCGTCAACGGCGAGCAGCGGGTGACCGAGGCAGGCGTCGCGCGCTGGTACGAGATGATGAGGAAGAACGACCCCGCACGGTTCGCGGCGTGCGAGCAGGCCGCTGACGCGAGCATCGCCGCCGCACGAAAGAAGGTGGCTGGGTTTCACGGGTGCAGCGACCCGAGGCTGCACGCGTTCGTGCCGCTGCTGCAGGCCTTTGGCCGGGACAGCGAGGAGGACGGGAGCAAATACCTCACCGCGGCCGACATGCGTCGCCTCTACCTGCTCAACGAGTACCCCGAGGGCTGGGTGCCGACCCCGGTGCCAACGGCGCGGCTCCAGGCCGCGCAGGCGCGCGCGACAGCGCTGGGCGTGGCGAGGCGCCGCCTTCAGGACTACGAGTCTGACCCGTTGTCGTGGCTGTGGCAAGGCTTCATGGACATGCCCAGCCCGGCCGAGCCGGAGCAGCAGCCGGCCGTCCCGACCGTCTGCGGCGCGGCGGTCGCCAACGCCGACTGCCAGGGCCAGCTCTGGGGCCCGACCGGCGACATGGGCATGCACTGCTACGCCTACAAGGATGCGTGCGCGCTCGACATGGTCGCGGGCGTGTGGGACGCCGGGTCTAAGTTCGACATGGACAAGGACCCGAGCCGCTGCCACGCCGCCGACAAGGTCTTCTACCTGTGGAACGAGCCAGACCAGTGGCAGCGCCTCCTCCCCGGGGCTACGTACGACTACAAGTGGGCCGCCCGCCAGTGGGTCACTTACGCGCGCCGCTGGTCGCGCCAGATCACGGACATGCGCCGCGACGGCTTCCGCTTCACGTCGCCGTTTTTGACGCCTGAGGGCACTACCAAGGCGATCGCAGACTTCTACGAGGCGTGCGGCACCGGGTGCGAGGACAAGGCCTCGCCCGCGTTCATCGACACGATCGCCGTCAACTCCTTTTGCGGGCCGTGGTCGGCGCGGGACGGCCGCGAACAGCCCACCGAGCAGGACTGCCGCGCAAACGTGGGGGGAGTCCTGGCCGAGCTTCAAAAGGTGCCGCAAATTAACGGGGAGCGCGGCTCGCTCCCCGTCCGGATCACCAACTGGGGACGCGTCAACGGGCACGGCAGGCTCTCGCCGGACGATCAGCTCGCGGCGATGGACGCGACTGACGCGTGGTTTGGGGAGGGGTCGCCCGTCGAGGCGGTGTACTGGTTCGCGCAGACCTTTGGCGGCCACAGCCTCGACGCGACGGACTCGTACAGCGTGACCGAGATCGGAAACAAGCTCAGCCAGCGCACCTCGTCCGGGCGCACGCTCGGACAGGTGTGGGAGGAGAAGTGCAAGGCGCTCTGAGGAGGTGCGTACTCGCCTGGTACTCGCTCGTGGGGGGGGGGGAGGGGGGGGAGCACGAGAAGGATGGTGTGGCAATAGGGGCATTGTGACTGGCTTTTGTGATCTTTACAGGATTGGGAGTGATCTGGCAAGAGCACCCTCATGAGATACGTCCTCTACGAGATACGGAAGCGCTTAATAAATAAAACGGGCACGCCAAACGAGGGGTGGGAGAAGGACAGGGTCCCCACCTGCACGAGCAGGATCTTGTAAGGACGATCAGGGACACAGGGGAACGGGAGCGGGGAGCGCATCGCGACACGGAGGGGGGCTGGGCAGGGTTCACCCACACGACAGGGTCCCAGGGATTCCTCTCTCGTATAGGACAGGTTGCACCCGGTGGCACGGGGGCAGGCGCGGGCCTCCTACTGGTTGCGCTCTCCTAGTTCTCCTGCTCCTGACAAGGGACAGCGACAGGCTCGCAGCACGGTGGACTCCCTATTCCACTGGCGATCTCTCTCGACTAGCGACCTTCCTCCGGCTTCTCACCAGCAGTCTCACAGAGTGGTCGGCCGAGGAGTGGTCCGAGTGGGAGGGGCAGTGGACCGCCGAGGAATGGGCGGCGTGGGACGAGGAGTGGGAGGCATGGGAGTCGGACACCGAGAACGGCGAGCGTCACGACGCGGGCGAGGTCTCCATCTTTGCAACGGCTTCGAGGACCTTGAAAGTGGCCGGCAGCCTCGCCCTAGCTAGCAACGCGGCAGATCAGAACTTCACCACACTCTCCTACCCAGGGACTTGCAATTCCGGATTCATAATGATCGCACTCATAATGAGAGAGAGATTTTTTAGCAATACCGTTTTGTCATAATGATGGCACTCATCCCGCCTTCCTCGAGGCACCGAGGCGACTGAGGTCTCTCGAGGTCTCTTCCATGAGCTCGACAAAACACTCTGAGCTCGAGGTGAAAGGGTGCAGCTCTCACGCATGGATTGATGTTGTTACAAGTTTGTGCGCTCGCGTTTAAAGAAAGAAAGAAAGAAAACAGACAACCCAAGGGAGGGATGGGAGGACGGCACGCCGCCACCACACAGGGATTTTAAGGAGAGGTGTGTGGTGCGCTAGCCGTCGCCCACCCTAGGGAGTCTGCCTCTTCCTATCTCTCTTCGCAGTCTCTCGCCGATTCTCGCTGCAACCTTCATGCCACCTCGCGGTCGTCCCACTCTCGTCGTTCTCTCCCTTGTCACTTCCTCCTCTGTCGCGTCGTTCTCTTCTGCCTCGTCCTGCGACGCCGCCGCCTGCCGGTCGCTTGTTCTCGCGGCTTCTTTCGCCTTTCGGCGCAACTCCGTCCTCCTCGCGGCGTATCCTGGCCGCTCGCGTTTAAATAAATAAATAAATAGAGCAGTCATCTCCAGGGAGAGATGGGCGACGCACACGAACACAGAGGGACAGCGCGCACCCCGCCCCGCTCGCAGGGCGTGCATCACACAGGTGGACTGTGTGACTCCTCGGGTTTCTGGGACTCAGAGGTGTGCTAGTCGCTATTCTCCGACAATTCCGACATATCTGACGGGCAGTTCGGGCTCGAGCGGTCGCGGTCGCGGCCAGCGCGTGAGGCCTGGCTAGGGTTGCCGGGCGAGAGCTCGACCCACGCGCCGGAGCGCGCGTGGTGCTTGAGCAGCCGGGCGCGTTTAGAATTTGAATTTGAATTTGAATTCAAAAAAAAAAAGCAGAAAATTCTTTCGATCGGACGCTTCTTGGCAATGTTGCGGCTCACCCTTCTTATTCTCGCGCTAGCTGGCCTCGCCAGCAGCCTGCAGGTGTCGTCGGCCCTGCGGCAGCCGGCGCTGACTCGCCGCGGCGCGGTCGGCGCTCCGCGGTTGGCGCCGGATGTGTTCATGAAGAGTAAGGAGGACCGGGAGTTTGAGGAGTGGGCGCGCCAGAAGAAGATCGCGAGCGGGGTCGATCCGGATGAAGACTTCGGCACCGGGCGGCGGGTCGAGTCGAGCATCTACCTCGTCGGTGGCCTGGTCACCGTCCTCGTGCCCGTGATTGCCGGCACGTGGGCCTACAACGCCGGATACCTCACGCCACAGTGAGTGCATGACAAAGAGACTCCGCATGCGAGTACCACGATGCTCGATCCTCTGCACCAGCCGTTTGTTCCGCCACCGAGACTTGCAGTCTCTCTTGGGGTACGATGTGCCGGTCCGCGGCTTGCCCGTGGGTTCTACACGCGCACCACGATGCGGGTACCCGGGGTGAGCGTCGCATCCTTTTTCACTATTTGTACGTACACGCACACGAATAATTCGCACTTGCGCTCTCACGGCCGACGCTGACACAAAACGCTTGTCGAGAGAGGCGCGGCGCGATGCGAAGAATAACCGTATAAAATACGCCGCGGGACGCTGGAGCCTCTTCCCCGCTCTCGTCGTGATAACTGATAATCACAGCTCGCAGGGAGAGCTCTGCCAGTAGCACTCGCGCTTGTCGGGCAGGTCAACGACGGTGCGAGGGCCCCGCGCCTCGACGCCCGACGGCAGCGGCACCGGCCTCTTGAACTTGAAGGTACCCGCAGGCTTGTTCCAGCTCGTGCAGCACCTGCAGTGAGGCAAGGTGTGTGCGGTGCGGGAAGGTGAGGTCACGGTGGTGGAGCCACTCGCTGGCTGCTCGAGGTGGGCGCGGCAGCCGCTAGTTCGGGCACCGAAGCCCCCCCCCCCCCCCCCCCGGGGGGCGCGCGCGCGCTGGTGTGGGGCAAGTGGCGCTTCCACCCGCCGGCAAAGTCGGCAGAGCTCCCAGGCAATCTCGGGCGGTCTCGGGCGGTCTCGGGCACCACGTAGCGCTCCAGCCGCCGAGCAGGTCGCCCGAGATCGCCTCCTTGAAGAGCTTGCTCTCGGCCGCAGACTCGAACCCGCCGAAGACGCCCTCCGCCGATTCGAGGTGCATGACGCGCGCGTCCGACGCGCCGGCGGCGGAGACCGCCTGCAGCAGCTGCTCTGCCGAGAGCCCCTTCTCGAGCCACACCTGCCGCGGCGAGAGGGGTCCCCTCCTCAGCAGACAGGGGAAGGCGTCCGCTGCCCTCTGGAGCCGCACCTGCCGCGGACCCTGCGGCGGCGGGCGGCCATGCGGCGGCGCCTCCGCCAGCCAGCGCACGGCGGTGGTGTCGGCCGGCGTGAAGGGCAGGGCGCCTGGCGCAGGGGTGGGAGGGCGGTCTGGTGCACAGCCCTCGGTGAAGTGCGTGGTCAAGCACGAGCCGTCTCAAGGGCTAGTCGGAGGGCAGGGCCCCTCTCTCCCGTGTCCTAGGGCCGCGGCTGCCCCACATCTCCCCATATCTCCCCACATCTCCCGCGTCTAGGGCCGCGGCTGCCCCACATCTCCCCATATCTCCCCACATCTCCCGCGTCTAGGACCGCGGCTGCCGGCAGGCGGCTTGTGGATGCTGCTGTTGAGGAAGGTCCACGGCCGCAGCTGCAGGTAGCCCTTTTGCCAGATCCGCTCCACGCGCGCGACGTCGTACACGCTCTCGAGCGGGCAAACGTGCGGGACGGGCGTCGAAGCGCCTATCTCGCGCCCTCTCGGCTGATCTCGGGCGCATCTCGCGCAACCTCCGAAGACGGGCGTGCAAGCGCCCTCGAGCGTGCAGCCGGGCAGAAGCGCGGCGGGCGACTCCGCGCGCTCGCACAAGCACGCCATCCGTGGCATCACGAGCTGGCGGCCGAGCGCGCGCGCGATGCCGATGGCGTTGCGCAGGGCTGCGATGTGGCGGTCGACCAGCTCGAGGTGCGCCTGATTACTTCTCTTGAGTCTGACTACTCATGCAGTGTGGGCTAGCTCCTGGGCGGTGTGGCGACGCGCGAGGCGCGGGAGGGCGAGGTGTGAGGAGGGGGAGGTGTGAGGAGGGCGAGGCGCGGGAGGGCGAGGTGTGAGGAGGGGGAGGTGTGAGGAGGGGGAGGTGTGAGGAGGGCGAGGTGTGAGGAGGGGGAGGTGTGAGGAGGGGGAGGTGTGAGGAGGGGGAGGTGTGAGGAGGGGGAGGTGTGAGGAGGGGGAGGTGTGAGGAGGGCGAAGTGTGAGGAGGGGGAGGTGTGAGGAGGGCGAAGTGTGAGGAGGGGGAGGTGCGCCTTGAGACGAGGCGACCACTGCAGCGCCGCGACGACGGTCCAGCCGTTGCCCGCGCGAGCGGGCGCCGGCTCGTGCCGCTCTGGCGGCGTCGGGCCGGGCTGCGGCGGCGTAAAGGAGAGGTAGCGCTGGTCGAACGGCTCCGGCCGGACAGGCAGCATCCCCGCCTAATCTCGGGACGATCTCGCGACATCTCGCGACATCTCGGGCGGGCTCGGGCCGGGGCAGCACCCGGCGCCTCGCGCAGCCGCCAGTACTTTGCCGGGTTCTTTGGCCAGCCCTCGACGAAGGTGAGGTGCAGCACGAGGCAGCCGCGCGGCTCTGCCGACTGCTGCACGTGGAAGACATGCGCCTGGGAAGAGCAAGGCTGCGGCGCGTGAGGAGAGGGCGGCGTGAAGAGCCGCCGTACGGGGAGGAGGGCGCGCCGAGCAGACTTGCGAGACGGGGATGGCGTGGATGCGGCGCGACCCGTTGCCGTCGTAGACGACCCTCCCGTCCTCGCTCGCCGGCTTGAGGGGGTAGAAGCGGCGGAACTTTGGGGCGTGGCGGCCCGACGCGCCGACGGTGCCGACCAGCTGGTTGAAGGAGAGCTGGTCGTCGACCTGATGGGAATGAGTTCATCAACTAATTAATATTCATCAGACGGCTGGAGGAGAGCTGGTCGTCGACCTGGGTACGGTAAGGTCCGGTACACTTCTCCACACACACAAAGGGTGGTGGGGCAAGGGGAGGCAACCCTCGCGACTGCACGTCTACAAGACGGGAGCCCCACGGCATTCAAAGTGCAAAGGCCCGGTGCGCGTGGGTGAGTGAGTCAGTGAGTCAGTGAGTGAGTGAGTGTGTGTGTGTGTGTGTGTGTGTGTGTGTGTGTGTGTGTGCACCTGGTGGGAAGGAGTGTGGAATGAGAAGGAGAGTGGAGTGGAAAGCGAGGGCCGAGGCAGAAAGCCGTCGTCGCGCCTGCGCCTCGCCCTTGATCTCCGCCATCGTGTCTCGCCACTCTTCCATCATGTCGACCGCCGCCGGCCGCGCACGGAAGAACATGACGCCCGTGTTGAACCACGCCGACCAGGTGGAGCCCGACTGGTGGCCGCAGTTGCGCACGTTGCTCTTGCGCGGCGAACGGTCCGCGTCGTACGGCACGTTGAGGCAGTCAGTGCCTATGCGCCAGTGGAAGTGCCAGAGTCGCTGATGGACTCGTGGGTCCGTGTCGCACGGCACGCCGAAACAGCCGCTGCCGGAGAGCACGTCGGCGTCGGGCACGGAGCGGAGCAACGCGTAGGGCGGCGCAATCCACGCGACGTCGACGTCCGAGATCGAGACGTCGCGACCGGCGCGGAGCAGCCACAGAACCACCTCCGCCTACAGCGCGGCCGCCCTTCGACATCATCTCGGGTGTGCGTGGCGCGGAGCAGCCGCTGCGGACCGCGTGTGGCCTTGGTGACGCCGTACGCTCGGAAGGCGCCTACCTCAACTCTGAGCTCTTACGAGTGGACTCGCGATGGAAGGCGGTGGTGACGCCGCGGGGCTCGCGCCATTCTTCCAGCGGAAACCGTCCATCGACCCCTTGTGGTCCGAGTTCCAGGCGATGCCCCCAAAGGAGGCGGTGGTGACGGTGGGCAGCCGGTGCCTAAGCCATGTGACCAACTCGCTGGTCAGTTGTCGTTGATTCTGCAAGGCGGTGGCGACGGTGGGCAGCAGGCGCTTGAGAAACAGGTCGACGCCAGACTGGTCCATGCCCGCGATGACGGCGCGGTCGCCGTGGCCGAGCCTCTCCAGCATCGGCAGCAGCAGCAGCGCCCAGTTCACCGCCATCTCGCCGTACGCCTGTTCACAGCCAGAGCCGTGAAGAGACGCCGTGGCGAAGCACACGTCGCCAGGGAGGAGGAGGGCGCCTGTTCACAGCCAGAGCCGTGAAGAGACGCCGTGGCGCCCAGTCCGCCGCCGCCGCCTCGCCGCCCGCCTGGTTGGCGAGCGTCACGAAGGCAAGCTCGCCCTTTGGGACGCGACAGAGCACGTCGTCCGTCGTGAGCACCTTCGAGTGGTCGCGGTTGCACTGCTTGGCCGGCACAGCAACGGCGGCGGGGACGGCGGCGGCGGGGACGGCGGCGGCGGGGACGGCGGCGGCTACAGGTGTGGCGGCCGCGACAGGTGTGGCGGCGGCGGCGGGTGTGGCGGCCGAAGCAGGGCCCGGGTCGAGCATCGCTCGTGCCGCGCGAGAGACGCCCGAAGCGGCGGCGGGCTGCTCCGCCGCCGCTCCTCCGAGCTTGCGCCGCAGCACCTCATTCTCGCTGCGCAGCTTCTCGCTGTCGCGCTTGAGGGTCTGCTGCTCGGCTCGCAGCGCCTCAATCTGCCGCTTCGCCTCCTGCAGCGCGGCGCCGTCCCGAGAGCCCTCCCGCGAGGCCAGAGGCGAGCCGTGCGCTGGAGCAGCGCGGAAGCCGGCGGTAGCCAAGGCGATCGGGTCCTCGCCGGCCTTTGGCGAGGAGACGACCTCCGCCGCAGCGTCCACTGCGCTGTGGAGCACCTCAAACGCGCCGTAGGCTGCGTCTGAGATCTCCTCTGACGCGCTGGACACCGCGCCGACCGCAGCGTCGGTGTACGAGGTGGACGGCGCCGCCTTGTAGGTGCGGGCCTTGCCCGGCCGGCGCCCTCCGAGGAGGATGAGGAGCGCAGAGAGCGATACGAGGACCACGACGAGCGGCAGTTGACGCATATATGATGATCACGGCAGCGGCTGTCGGCGGCGAGCGCCGCTTGGGACAGGTTTCCTGTCTGCGTTTTTCTCAACCCACGTGCGTCTGCACCTCCGTTCACGTGCACGAGCTTCTTGAGCCACCCACCCACCCCACCCACCTCACGGCCCGGCTGAGGCTTGGAACCACCCACCCACCCCCACCCACCTCACGCACGGCCCACCCGCCCGGCTGATGAGGCGAAACCCACCCCCACCGACCGACAGGTTTCCTGCGACAGGTTGACCCTAGCCCCACGACAGGTTGAGGCACTTGAGAATCGTCGTGAGGGTGAGGTTGTTTCGTGTTATTAGCTTGGGTTGTGCTTGGGTGAGGTTGTTCCGCGTGAGGTTAGGTCGTCGGCGCGAAGGGTGAGGTCTCGACCGCCGCCGCTCACGCCAGCGGACGGCCACCATCGGTGTTTCTGGCTTCGCCACCGTTCGGGCGCGCTTGCGGGCTGAGAACACCGGTGCGCGGGCCTTGCCCCTTTTGCGCAGCAACAGCCAACACCTTATCCTTAAATTTCATGGCCCTCCAAATTCGGGTCGGAGCGCAGCGGAGTGGGCCCCGAGTTATTTGAAAAGGGCGACGGACGCTTGCGTCCTAGCCTCCAACAACGCCTCCCCGGCGCAGAGGGGCCCCCGCACGCAGGGATGCTCAACCGCTCAACGCCACGCTCCTTGCAGTTATCCTGCCAATTCTACAAATGTGAGTGTTAGAGTTGTTTGGTATTGCTAAAAATCTCTCTCTCTCTCCAATTCTTATTCCAGTGAGCCGGCCGGTGTGTGTGCCAGTCCGCGCCAGTCCGCGCCCTTGTCGTGCCAGTAATAAATAAATAAATAGAGCAGACATCTCCAGGAGAGATGGGCGACGCACGAATTGTCGTAAAAGAAAGAAAGAAAGAAAACACGCAACCCAAGGGAGGGATGGGAGGACGGCACGCCGCCACCACACAGGGATTTTAAGGAGAGGTGTGTGATGCGCTAGCCGTCGCCCACCCTAGGGAGTCTGCCTCTTCCTATCTCTCTTCGCAGTCTCTCGCCGCTTCTCGCTGCAACCTTCATGCCCCCTCGCGGAAAAAAGAAAGAAAGAAAGAAAACAGACAACCCAAGGGAGGGATGGGAGGACGGCACGCCGCCACCACACAGGGATTTTAAGGAGAGGTGTGTGATGCGCTAGCCGTCGCCCACCCTAGGGAGTCTGCCTCTTCCTATCTCTCTTCGCAGTCTCTCGCCGCTTCTGGCTGCAGCCTTCATGCCACCTCGCGGAAAAAAGAAAGAAAGAAAGAAAACAGACAACCCAAGGGAGGGATGGGAGGACGGCACGCCGCCACCACACAGGGATTTTAAGGAGAGGTGTGTGATGCGCTAGCCGTCGCCCACCCTAGGGAGTCTGCCTCTTCCTATCTCTCTTCGCAGTCTCTCGCCGCTTCTGGCTGCAGCCTTCATGCCACCTCGCGGTCGTCCCACTCTCGTCGTTCTCTCCCTTACCCCCTCGCGGATTGTGCCAGTGCGAGTTAGAATTCTTCAGGTGCGACTCGTGGTGGGTGAGCTCGCCTTGCCGGCGCCGCGCGCGGCTTCCCCCCGGCCGCCGTCCACCCCTCCACCCCTCAGCCACGCCCCCGGGCCACGCCCCCTCCTCCTCCGCCCCCCCCCCCACCCCCCCCGCCCAGCGCCGCCGGTGCGCCTGCTGCAGTTGCCACAATGACCGTCAAGCGTCGCTGCCACGGCCGCAACAAGAAGGGGCGCGGCCACGTCAACCGCGTGCGCTGCGTGTCCACGGGTAAGGCGATCCCCAAGGACAAGGCGATCAAGCGCTTCATCGTGCGCAACATCGTCGAGGCGTCCGCGCTGCGCGATATCCGCGAGTCGTCGTGCATCGAGGGCTACCAGCTGCCCAAGATCTACATCAAGCAGTTCTACTCGATCGAGGCTGCGATCCACCAGCGCATCGTGCGCGTCCGCTCGCGCGAGCTCCGCCGCTCGCGCGAGCCGCCCCAGCGCAACCGTCCCGCCTTCACTCCGCGTGAGGGCGCTGCGGCGGGCGGCGCGGGCGGCCCGCCCAAGCCCGCCGCGCCGGTCGGCGCTTAGGCGGGCGCGCGAGGGGGGGGGAGATCGCGCCGCCGCTCTGCGCGCGCGCGCCTACGAGGGGGCGAGGCGCGTGCGCCGTTGCGGCGGCAGGGACTGCTCCGCTGAGATGCTGCGCCTCCCGGGGAGGAGGGCCCCCCGGGCCAGCAGAGTGTTTGAGCCGGGTCCCGCAGCGGCCTCAGTCTCCCTATCTTTTATCGCAGAGCTCTGTGCAAAAAACAACCGGCGACGTACGCGTGCGCGCGGTGCGGCGGCGAGGCGCGGGGAGCGAGGTGCGCCAGTACGCGGTGTATGTTGTGGCTTGTCCTTGTGCTCTGTGTGTGGAGAGACGATCACACCGCCCCCCTCCGCCCGCGTCGGCGCGGAAAGCGCCCAGGCCCCTATGCCGCCTCCTCCCCTCGCGCGTAGTCGGATGCGATGCTTGCCGCGGCGAACCCAAACAGGCCGACGCACGCCAGCCCCGCCCACGCCGCGGCGCCCGCCGGCACGCTCGGCCTGGGGGGCGGGGGAGGAGGAGGATCACACGGGACGCCGGCGGGCGCAGGGGGGCGGGGGAGGCGTCTCGCTTCGCCGTGGTGTCGTGTAATACGCGTGCGTGCTCCCCGCTTGGAGCACACTCCACCAAGGCCGCATCTAAGGCTGGGAGGCCCGTCCAGCGGAGCGAGGAGAGGCATCGCCGGCGGCGCGAGGCGCGCGACTGCGGCGAAGGCTGCGCAGTGCCTGAGCAGGGGCGGAGGGGAAGGGAGGGGTGTGTACGCGGTGTCGTGCAGGCACTGTGTTGAGGGACACCGCGCTCCGGGATACAGCGGGAGGAGGCTGCAGCATGTAGCCGCACGCGCGTCTGAGCGACCGGCTGGAGTGCAAAGGGTGCTACCGCCCGCGTCTAGGGGCGCAGTGTACCAGGCCGCGAGCGTGGCGTGCAGCAGCAGCGTGTGCGCGGCGGGCGACGGCGCCTCGTCCACAGCGCCAGCGGGTGAGTCTGATTCTCATCGAGCTGTGGGGACGACTACTTGCGCTCGTTGATGCCTCGTCCACCGCCAGCTGGTAGCGCGTGACGAAGGTCGGCATCGAGTACATGAGGTGGTGGTAGATGCCGACGGGCAGGACCGAGTTGGAGAGGCCGAACATGAGCGAGACTGTCCAGTAGAACTCGGCGCAGAGCAGCCTGCCGAGGGGCGGCCGAGGGGCGGCCGAGGTGAGGCGGCCGAAGTGAGGTAGCCCAGGTGTGGCCGAGGGGCGGCCGAGGGGCAGCCGAGGTGAGGCGGCCGAAGTGAGGTAGCCCAGGTGTGGCCGAGGGGCGGCCGAGGGGCGGCCGAGGTCGCTGTCTGTGTCTGTGTCTATAGCCGAGATGCGGCGGGGCGGGGCGGGGGGGGGGGGGGTCACCCGTTGAGGAGGCCGTTGGCGAGGGCGTGGTTGAGGAGGCCTAGGTTGGCGGTGGCGCAAGCGATCACGATTGACCATTCGTGAGCCGGCGCCCAGCGGTACTGGCACGCCGGCGGTGAGGGCGATGAGGGACGCCGAGCCGAGCACGGGGCAGCCGCCTAGCCGCGGTAGATCCGAGGTAGATCCGAGATCGCTCCGAGATCGAGCCGAGCACGGGGCAGCCGCCGAGAGTGAGCGGGGCGGCGAGCAGCTGCTGGACGTACACCTGGCCAGATGTGGGGAGATATGGGGAGATTTAGGGAGATATCTGGACGTACACCTGGGGCCGGCGAGGTGAGCCGAGATTAGCTGAGATTAGCCGAGAGCCGAGATGAGCTGGACGTACACCTGGCCGGCGAGATGAGCCGAGCTGAGCCGAGATGAGCAGACGTACTCGAGCCGAAGTGTAGCCGAGAGCTAGCCGAGAGATGGCTCAGTGAGCAGCTCTAGCTACTGGCGCACACCTCGAAGGCCACGACGCCGACGCACGCAAGCACCGCACCCACGGGCGAGTCGCCTGGCCGATAAGAGCCGAGATCAGATAGAGCCGAGATGAAACCACCGCGCGCGCGAGGCGCCGTGCTCCGCGGCGTAGTTTGCGGGCAGAGAGACGCTCTCTTCGCTCCACGAAACATGCGGGTTCAGCCAGCGCAGCAGCCGTACCTAGCAGGACGGCTCCTGGACGGTTCCTGGAAGGCTCCGAGAAGGTTCCCGGGAAGGGCGATAGCGGGCCGCGGCTTGGCCAACTCGCACACCGACGCTCCACACCTCCTCCTCCTCCTCCTCTCTCTCCCTCTCCCTCTCTATCACTCTCGAATTGGCCCAGTCGCACATCGATGCTCCACAGCGCGAAAGGCAGCACCGCGTGCGCGAGCTCGACGCCGCTCCCGGCCACCTGGCCAGCGGCAGCCGATGTGTCGCCGAGGTGTCGCCGAGGTGTCGCTGTGGCTGATAAGTCACCGGCAACGGCTGCCACCCCGAGGCGACCGCGGCGGAGGCGAGGAGAGGAGCCGAGAGGCCGAGCAGCTGGAAGGTGTAGCTCTTCGGCGGCGTCACGCCGCGCGCCTTTGCGGTGATCGGGTGCAGGTCCGTCCCGCACGCGCTCCAGCCGGCAGCGACGAGCGCCGAAGAGGCCGCCATCGTGAGCAGAGGCACGCTGCACGCTCCCGGGTCGAGCGAGGCCGTGCTCCACCAGTCGGGCAGGCCCGGGACGCACGCGGCAAACAGGGCCGCCGAACCGGCAAGCACTGCGGAGGAGCGGCCCACGGTCGCCGGCAGGACCTCCGCCGAATAGGGCTTGCCGTCGAAGACCGGTGCCGTGGCCCTCGCCGCCGCCATACGAATGACCGGCGTCCGCGGCGATGGCGTGAGAGCGCTCGCAGAGGTGCAGGCGAGGAGACAGAATCGCAGTAGCATGTGCATTCGTGGCTCGCTGCAATGCGGCCGGCACTGCAGCAGGATTCGGGCAACGCACACTGTATGGGAGGACGGCACGCGCGCACGCCGCCACCACAAACAACAAACAAACACGTTAGTGTTGTTTGGTATTGAAGGTATTGCTAAAAATCTCTCTCCCCAAACAACAGACAGGCAAAACAAACTCAGACAGGGATTTTAAGGAGAGGAGTATGTGTTGCTAGCCGTCGCCCACCCTTGCGCCTTGTGGGCGTCTGCCTCTTCCACAATCTCTCTTTGCAGTCTGTCGCCCTTCATGCCGCCTCGCGGTCGTCCCACTCCTCTCGTCGTTCTCTCTCCAACTCGCAACTGTCTGTCGCTTCATCCTCTGTCTGTCTCGCCGCTCTCCTCTGCGGCTCTGCGCCTCGTCCTGCGACGCCGCCGCCGCCTGCCGATCCCTTGCTCTCGCGGCTTCACCCGCCTCTCGGCGCAACTCCGCCCTCCTCGCGGTGTATTTTGGCCCCTCGAGTTTATCATCAAGCTCTCCTCGGTCCTCGCGCAAGAACCACATTTTTCTGACTCCCACTCCGATCATTTCACATTTGCCGCCAAGACCCAAGTCATGTCGTTGCTCAGGTCCACTCTCGTTTCGAACACTCCTCTGTGAGTCTGGCAGGTGGCAGCTCTCTCTCTCCTGCTTCTTCTGCCGATCGGTACAAAGTAGTTGGCTCGCCGCCGCATTCTGTGAGTTGCCTTCCGGAGTGCCCGCCGTTTGCGTTGGCGACAGTAACGCCGAACCTGCTGGGCCGAGGCGAGAGGACGCGGGAGAATGGCGGACTATCCTCCGCAGGAAGGGCACGGCGTCGAGGGAGTGCAGGTGGACGTGCCTGGAGTGCCGGGTGTGGTGCCAAAGCCGGTCAACAACCGCCGGATTGGTGACGCGAGAATTGAGGGGGACGACATCGCCGACGGCTACCCCACAAAGATGCTGGGGATCTGTGTGGCATCAGTCTGGCTCATCGCCGCAGCGGCTGCACCCCGTAATGGTTACATGAGCTTGGACAATGGATCGGGTGACTTGTGGGACGTGGATCTGGACGGGCCGCACACCTATTGCATCGTCGTTGGGTCCATTGCGCTCACCCTTTGTGCGATCGTGCTCATGCTCATCAAGTACAAGCCGGAACCGCTCGAGAAGGTGATCTGCAACATTCGTGGCTCGCCCGTCAAAGGCGAGCAGTTTGTCGCCATCTTCCTCGTCTTTTGGTGGGCGGCGGCTGCAGCGGTGGGAACCTTCTACTCGCCTTTTGAGACCAACGTCGGGAATGGCTATTTCGCTCTCTGGGCACCGCGTCCCCGCCGCCCGCCCGAGGGCGACGTGACCTCTCGCCGCGGCTTGCTCACCCCGGCCTCCTCCCACTGCAGGCTGGGTTCGGCTTCTCTCTCTCCGCGCTCGGCGACTGCTACGAGACGGTGCGCAAGCAGCTGACAAAGAGCCGGTCGAGGTTGTCTAAAGCGGGCGGATTTGGTGCGCACCCAGAGCCTCCCTTTGGGCAAAGCTCGGCTGTGAAGCCACCCTTCTTGGTAGGCTCGCGCGACGACCTCTCGATCCACGCGCCTGCGATGGGCCTCTTTTGCGCGTGCATGGTTCTGCTGTTTGCGTGCATCAAGCCGCTCAGCGATGCCAACGAGGATGACCAAGATCTGTGGGAGGCGATCCTGGGCATCGTCGCCTCGATCATTACGATTATTATGACCCTGCTCTTCAAGTGCCTTGACGAGCAAGGATGTGTCGTTAAGCTCATGGTGTCGGTCATTGCGTGCTTGTGGATCATTACTGCCGGCATCCTCACCTTCCGCCAGGCACCTCATCGCCCCTCCACGCAACGCCCCAGACCCCCTTCCCTCAATGACGCTCTCGTCCACTCTCCGCCCAACAGCCCTTCACCGAGACCTCCAACGGGTTCTTTGCCTCGTATGCGAGCCTCTTCTTCTGCTTTCAACTCGTTGCGATCACATTCTTTGAGAAGTGACAAATATCGGCAGAAGGGGACGCGCCGTGACCCAATCCGATGCATGCACTGGCTGTGCGCACCTGATCGTAGCAGGATCGCAAGTTGACGCAATGTAGGTTGAGGGCACTACCTGCGCAGCCACACCGCGCACACCCAATGAGTAGACACTACGAGGGGGGCACATATTCTCGAGCCGATTTCTGTTAATTTCTTTCAAGTTTCATATCTTGGTAGTCTTTGTCTTTGTGCGGCGAGAGTTGAAAAAGCCACACGTCACGAACGCACAGCACCTGCGGTGCGTGGTGACGCAGACGGCATATAGTACGCTAGAGACAAGGAGAGAGTGCGGTTTACGCGCGTGCGCGCGGCGTGGGCTACATTGCCTCCTCCCCCCCAGCTCTCTCCTCGGCTCGCATCATGGGCCGCAGCCGAGGTGGAACGACGGTGTGCAAAGAGAGAGCTGGCTTTGCGCGCCGAGCCTGGGAGGCGTGCCGCAACTCGTTCGGAACTGGTCCAGGCGGCAACGGAGTGAAGCACACGTCTCGCAGCAGCACCATCGCAAACATCGCTTCCAGACCGAGACCAGTTGTTGAGTGAAGCAGCAAGAATGCAAAGCGTGCCGTGGTGTGAGGCCCATAGACATGGATGGGAAAGCCAGGCATGAAGGAGAATATGACACCGCCCGCACAAAATCCCCAGTAGACGCTCATCAGGGCAGCGCCTGCCAACGTAAGCACCACGGCAATTGACCTGACCAGCGAATTATCCGTTGAGTTCACGCACACTGCAGCGAGAGCCATGCAAGCATCTCCTCCCAGGGCGAGATTCATCATCATGGTAGGCGCAACAGCTGCTGCCGATAGACGCAGTGCGACCGAAGCAGCTACGTAGACGATAGTTACAGCTGAAATCTGGCTCTCTCTCGGTAAGCTGATCTCGACCATCGAAATGATGGAGTCGATTGCCTGGATCAGCGCCCCTCCCAGCTCATCCGAGGCCCGATCGGCCAGCAACAGCCAGCCAGGCATATCGTCGGCCATTCGTGGAACGCTGTCTCCTTGCGTGCCACTTGCGCGACCGCCTACCTACAGTGTACGTCCCAAGGAATGAATGAAGATTTTTACCCTCTCGTTGACTTTTAGCTTACCTGGGAGAAAAGGGAGACCGGGCTGTGTTCTCTATTTCGTTGTACGTACTTTTAGCTTACTGGGAGAAAAGGGAGAGGGGGTTGTTTGTGTTCTCTAGGCCCCCAAGGGCCCTACGCGCGGCGTGAGAGCTCGGAAGCGAGCTTTGCACGGCGGTCGAGGCTCTCTCTCTCTCGTTGTACGTATGTGGCTCTTTCCTACATTCCCGTAGGAGGGGCCCCCACCCAGCCAGGGCGCAGGGGCAGGGCCGCCGCCCATCAAAAAGGACTGCGGTACTCGAGTAGAAGACGCCCAATCTTGCCGCGCAAGAACCATACATCTCTTTTCACCTACCAACCTTAAGAAAGGCTCGCCCCGCTCTGGTGTCGGGATCTAGCCGGCCGCGGGCTAAATAAAGGCCCCCCGCGTCCGGGGCGGCTTGCAAGCGCCGGCCTCGATGTCGGGGGACTAGCAAGAGCGAGAGTTTGGCCTACTTGTTAAATAACACTCAGGCGCGTGAGCTGGCATGTCTGAAAAAGAGAGAAATATTGCGCCCGCCGAAAAGTCGAGTAGTCGACTCGCGCCGAAGCGAAGCGTTACAGTCTGCATGGACGCCGACAAAGGCGACTACGTCGAGGAGGAGGGGCACCTCGCGCCGCCGCCTCAGCTGGACGGTGGCGGTGCGGTGGTGGACTCGGAGGAGCTTCGCGCCGGCGCTCAGGATGAGCGCGCTGCAGCAGCGACGGAGGCAGCGCGGCTCGCTGATGGAGCAAAGCAGGCGGCGCAGGAGTCGGCGCTGCTCGAGGCACGGGAGGAGCGCGATCGGCTGGCCGCGGTGGCAAGCCCTTTGGATGAGGCAAAGCGGTCCCTCGAGGCGGCGAGACGGAAGCGCGACGCCCTATACTCGCAGCTCGAATCGGCTGAGGTCCACCTCGCAACTGTCGCGGCGGCGAGAAATGCGGCGGAGAGGAAGCTGGACCGGCTGGCGGAGCGCGAAGGGAGGCAGCGACAAGTCTCGCCTGTCCGAAATGCCCCGCCAGTCTCATTAGGCCAGGCGCCTTCGGCCTCTGACGCAAAGGCGATGAGGGACTCCTTGAAGCGAGTCAAGGAGGAGATTCGGGCGATGGAGCTCCGTCTCCCGGCTCACGAGGAGGCTCGCTTCCACGTGGAGAAGCTTCAGAACGAGCGCCGGAGCGCCAAAATGCGCGCGGCCGCGCTCAAGGCGGAGATCCGGCGTCTCCTTGACGAGACGACGAGAGAGCGGGGCGTCCTTGCGGCCCTAGAAGCGGGCGCGGCCCCCACAGACACAGAGCGGCGGGACAATGCGGAGGTGGTGCGGCTCAAGACGGCCATCGCGGCCGAGAACACCGCGCGGGCGTCGGCTGAGCGCGATGCAGCAGCAACTGCGCGCAAGCTGCGCGTGGTTCACACCGCCCTCGCGGGCTTCTTCACCGCTCACCGCCTTTCCTCTGCGAACTGCACGAGGGAGGAGCACGGCGCCGCTCTTGCCGAGTACGTGGCTGCGTGCTCCTCCACAGTCCACGAGGCGGAGAAGCGGGTTGGATTTCTAGAGGGCAAGGTGGAGCGTCTGCAGCAGCTCTACGACGAGGCGGCCGGTGAACTCACAAAGGTGGTGCATGCCAGAACGCGCCGCGCCATGCGACGGCGGCGACCGTTGCCGGCGCTAGAGCCCGGCATTGAGCGAGCGGCGCCAGAGGAGCTGCCTGCGGCGCCGCCGCCCGAGCCCATACTGGAGAGACAGCGGCCGTGGCGGACGGGCACAAAGCCGAGGTCGGCAGCGACCGCGCCCAGCCCGAGGCTTGCCAAAGCTGCGCCCAAGCAGGCGCCCAAGCAAGCTCGTTCTCCTGTCCGTGGAGGCCGCCGGTCTGGACGCAAGCTGGAGGAGAGGGCTGCAAACGTTCCGACCGACCGCGGCGCAAGCAACTCTGCACCGGCACCGAAGCCGTTCTTTGGGCTAGCTGCTGCAGAGACGAAGACTACAGAGGCCGCAGAGCCGACGCAGGCGACGGTGGCGCAAGTGGTGGAGGCGGTAGAAGAGGAGGGGGCGATGGCGGACATTGATGTGACGCAAGCGGTAGGAGCCATGGAGTACCGTGGAGGAGCTAGCGTGGCGAGGCAAGGCTCGGACGAGAGAACAGGGGCGATGGCGGAACAGGTGGCACAGGATGCGTCTACTCATCATGAGCCTGCTGATATGGTGGGGCGAGGCGATGCCGCAGACATGCAAGAGGAGACGGCAGTTGCGGCAGTGGAGACCAGCTCGAAGGCCAAGTCGGAGTCGGAGTCAGAGGTCGAAGCGGTTGAGACGCTAATGCCAGTGCTAATGCCAGCTGAAGCGACAGAGCCGTCTCAGGGATTTACCGACGACACGCAGGCCGAAGGTGAAAAGGGCACGGAAACCGACGAGAAGCGGGAGGAGGAGGAGGACACAGCAACCCGTTTGTCAACAAAGCCATCGCCAGCCCAGCCGGAGCCATCGGAAGCAACGGGCAAGGCGAGCAAAGAGAGAGAGGCGGAGGCGGGGGCGGAGGCGGAGGCAGACATGGAGGCGGAGGTAGCCAAGGTGGAGGCGGAGGCGGAAGCAGAGGTGTTAGCCGTGGTGGACGTTGAGGCAGAGGCGGAGGAGGAATCAAAGGCGGAAGCGGAGCAAGAGGAGGAGCAGGAGGGGGACGGGGAGGCGGAGGTTGAGGCGGACGCGAAAGCGGGGTCGGAGATAGAGCAGGATGTGTCGACGACAGCAGTGACCGCGGTTGCAGACACGCTGGAGGGAGAGAGGGTGACAGTGGGGCAGGCTGAGGACGGCGCGGTGGAGGATACAACGGCGGACAAGGTGGGCAAGGAGGCAAAAGCTGATGAGGTAGAGGGCTCTGCAACGCCAACGTGGGAGGCCGAGGTGGAGGGTGGGGCAGCGGCAGAGGGTGAGGCCGCGGCGGGGCGGGTTGAGGCATCGGAGGAGGCCGCGGGTGAGACGGCAGCGCCAGCGGCGGCACCGCCGCCGTCCGACGACCTTGGCGTCGATGACGCCCTTCAGGGTCAGCTGCCATCATCCGACGATCACGATGACATGGTCATGGACGATGAGTGACCCCACCCCGCCCGCCTCTGCTACCACACTCTCTTTCACGATCCCAGTCTTGTGAAGTTGTGTTGTTCAAAAGACCCGTATATACTCAAAAACTCCATCGCCATGACGTGAAGAAACAGACGGCAGAGAACCACATCCCACCAGAATGCAGAAACCATTGCGACACCCACCTTCAGTCACCGTCGAGCGAGCGGCAACGAAAGCGGGCTGTAGTGTGCGTGGCCACTGCACGGCGCGCGGACACCGTAGCGCCCTCCCACGTAGCTGGGCGAGTCCGCGCAACGTACAGGCCGGCCCGCCATGGGGCCCCAGGGGGGGCTCACTTGGGGCTCACTTGTCCTCCTCCCAGCGGATCCCAGACACGCTGAAGTCGCTGAGCAGCGGCGCCATCGCGTCGACGAGCTGCTCGAGCGTGGCCTTCTCCGCCTGCGCTGCGAGGAAGCTCAGCGGCTTGAAGGCCGCCTCGAGCCGCTCCGCGTCGGCGCCGCTGTCCTGCAGCGCTCGGGCGGCGAGGCCTTGCGCCGTCGCCCACGCCATCTTGTCCTTGGGCGTCTGCTCGGCGGCGCCGACGAAGCACGAGAGCGCGTCGACGAGGCGAGGCGGGTTGACGCCGTCGCGGAGGACCTCGCCCGCCCGCGCGTAGAAGCCCGCTGCCCGGCTCGAGGAGGCGAACGAGGCGGCGGCGCACCAGATTCGCGCAGCGCGCACAAGCGACACCCCCCGTGCGCGCTCCTCCGGCTCGCGGCTCGCGCAGAGCATGAAGGCGATGGCGGCGTGGTGGAAGGCGGCGGACCTGGCCTCCTTGGGCGCCACGGCCGCCTCGTCGCAGAGCCGTCGGCCGCCCGCCTCGAGGGCTCGCTTCTCGTCCCCGCCTTTGAGGAAGGCCTTCTCGGCGTGCGCCCAGAGCCGGTTCCGCTCGAGGTTGTCCGCCTGCCGGAGCCAGTCCTCGGCCGACGACTTGCGGCTCTTGGTCTTCGAGACGGAGAGGAGGCCCTCGAGCCCGCTCTCGGCGACGCCGGCGCGGCTCAGCAGGTCGAAGAGCGGCTTCCGCCGCTCGGTCGACGAGTCGTAGACGAAGCAGCGCTTGCGCGCGCGCGTCATGGCGACGTACAGCATCTTGAGCTCCTCGCAGAGGATGTTGTCTCGCACCGGGTCGAAGGGCGCGGCGCCGCGGTCGGCCGTCGCCGCCCCGGCCGCCGCCTCGTCGCCGTCGAGCGTGCTGAGGACGGCCCACGTGCACTCGCGCGGCGAGTCGGCGAAGAAGTCGAAGATGCAGACGTCGTCGAACTCGAGGCCCTTGCTCTCCTGCGAGGGGGCGGCAAGCGTGGGCGGGGTGTGGTGTGTGGTGTTGTTGTGCGTGCGTGTCTGCGCGTGCGCGGTCAGGTGGGTAGTGGTGCGGGTCGCGCCTCGACGGTGAGGACGAGCCCGGACTGCAGCAGCGGCGGCAGCTTCTTCTTGGCCGAGGCGCTGCGCACGATGACCACCTGGTTCGCGCCCATCTCGCACAACCCCAGCTCGTCCCCCGCGAGCATCATCTCCGAGACGCGCGCCGGCGTCGTATCGGGCAAGAGGGCGGGCTGGCGAGGGACGGGCGGGCCAGGCGGGAGTGAGAGGGTCGGGCACGGGGCAGGCGCTAGCTGGTGGCGGCAGGGACAACGAGGGGCTGTGGGGTGGGGGGAAGTGTCTCGGAAGTGTCTCACCGGCGGGCCGAGGAAGTGGCCGCGCTCGTCGTTGAGCCTATCAACACGAAGAGGGGTGAGCGCCGAAGATGAAGGCTGTGCAGAGACGCGCGCTTGTCGTCGAGCCGGTCGAGCGTGGTCGGGAAGAGCTTTGTGAGGAGCGAGACGAGCGCGTTCGCGGCGGTGAGGATGCCCGAGTGAGTGCGGTAGTTGGTGATGAGCTGCGCGGGCTTCGGGCGGCCGTCAAACAGCAGCCGCACGTCGGTGAAGCGGAAGCCGACGCCGCGCGTGATGGTCTGCGCCGTGTCGCCGCAGACAAAGAAGCCGTCCTACACGTCGAGGGAGAGCGGGTCATCTCGCTCTCTCTCGCGCAATCTCGCCGCGTCACCGAAGAGGCCGTCCTTGTCGGTCGCGGCGTCGTGCAGCAGCGCCAGCTCCGCCATGGTCAGATCCTGCACCTCGTCGATGATGACGCGGTGCAGCGGCGAGTGCCGGACCTCGCCCTGGCGAACCTGCGTGAAGAGGTGGAAGACGACGTCGCACACGTCGTACAGCCTGTGCCGCCGCTTCTTGCGCAGGTAGTCCTCGAAGGCGTCGTAGGCGACGCCGCGCATCTCGGCGGGGAGCGGCGACATCTTGCTCGCCAGCGCGATGTACTCGTCGCGCGAGAGGTAGCCCTCCTTCGTCTTCATCGCCTCGCGGCTGCCCTTGATGTAGGAGAAGGCCTACGCGGAAGGCTCTGGTAGGGGTCTCGGACGGGTCTCGGACGGCGCGTCCCGATGTAGCGGGTCGCCTCGCGGTAGAGCGTGCTCACCGAGAGAGAGCGCAGCGTCTTGTGCCCCTGGAAGAGCTGCTCAAACATCTCGAACGTGAGCAGCTCGCGGCGCGCCTCTGGCGCGGCGTTCCCCTTCTGTCGCCGCTGCCGCGCCGCCGCCGCCGCGCCGCCACGCGCGTCGCCGGCGGACCGCGTCGGGCTGTCGTCGCCTAGTGGACGTGCCTCGGACGCGTCATGGACGTGTTCATGGGCAGCGGGCGCGCGCGTCGGGCGGTCGTCGCCCTCGGCGAGCTCCATGTGCGAGAGGAGGGAGGCGAGGCCGTCGCCAGTCCCGTTGATGGCCTCCTTGAACTGGGCCTCCTCCTGCTCGGACTTGAACCAGCGCTGGTCGGGCGGGAGGCAGCGGTCGAGCAGCACCAGCCACTCGGAGGAGGAGAGGAAGAGCGGCGCTTGCAGCTCCGGCTCGGCGGCCGAGAAGTCGAGCTTGAGCCGCTCCGAGTCGGCAGGAGGCTCGCCGAGCGGGAGCATGAGCTGCTCGGAGTGGCTCTTGACGCGCGACGCGAGGGTGACGCTCTTGCACAGGAAGAGCACGTTGGTGTGTGGCGGCAAGCCCCCCTCGATGGCGCTCAGCTCCTGCGGCGTCGGAGGCGCCGTCGCCCTCTCGTCGCCGCTGGCGCGCTCACGCAGCGCCGCGTCGCGCGCCGCGCGGCGAGCCGAGTTCGTCTCCTGCACTCGGTACAGGATCTCGAGGGCGAGGCTCGTCTTGCCGGTCCCGGAGCGGCCGACGAGCAGCGTGGAGCAGGTCGGCTGCGGCGGAGGGACGAGGGACTGCTCGTGCGCGTCGAGGAGCAGCGGCAGGTGGAAGCCGCGCTGCGCGAGGTCGCACGCCTCGCCGAGCAGCTCCTCCGTGAGGAGGAGCAGCCTACAGGTGCTCCGAGGGGGTGGTCCGACACTCTTGCGGGAAATGCGGCTCGCGGGGCGAAGAGCCGGTTTGCCGCGAGAGGTGGTCCGACACGGCGTGCCACTTGATCACGTACGGCACGCTCACGTCGCCGCCCTCGTCCGAGTGGACGGGGTGCCACTGGTCGCCGGGGTGGGAGAGCTCGTTGTTGGTGCCCATCGGGAAGGAGCCCGCCTCGGAGTCGGCGAGGCTGCCGTAGCCCCACGCCTCTTCCACGTACGACATCACCTCCTCGAGGTGCGCCTCGGACGTCTCGACCGACCACACGCGCACCTGGAGGAGAGAGAGGCGGCGGCGAGGAGTGAGGGGGCGGCGGAGGAGAGGCAGCGGGGGAGAGAGTCAGCAAGGGAGGAGGCAGCAGGGAGAAGAGGCAGGAAAGGGGCCGGTGAAGGAGAGAGGCAGCAGGGCCAGCAGCCACCGCCTCGGCGCCGGCCGCCTCGAAGAAGGGGCGAGCGGCGGAGCCGCGCTCCCACACGCAGTGGACGTCGCTGCCCGTGGTCTTGTTGCCGGGCGGGCGCGCGACGAAGAGGTGCTCGCCGTCGAGCCGCTTCGAGACGCTCTCGCCCGCGCCGGTCGCGAGGGCGTGCAGCGTGCGGATGGCCTTGCGGCGGCGCGTCACGTCGAGGAAGGCCAGCTGGAGCAGCACGTGCCGCGTCACGACCACCTGCACCGGCTGGCACTCGAAGCCGTGCTGCTCGACGAACTTCCGCTCGCGCTCGGCCGCCTACAGGCAAGGTTCTGAGAAGGATCAGCAAGAGGTCGATGCCCATCTCCCGCGCTCGGCCGCCGCCCGCCGCTGCCGTCGCCGCCGCAGCCGCCGGCGCGGTGGCGCTGCCCGCGGCCGACACGACGGCGCCTGGACGAGCTGCGGACGACGTATTGCCCTTGAGCGGGGCCGCGGCGCCGCCCTTTAGCGGCGGCAGCTTCTTCGGCTTGGAGGCGCTTGCCGCCGCGCTGTCGCGTCCGAGGAGGGAGGCGACGGTCGCATCGGCGTTGAGGAAGGAGTCGATGCAGGACGGCGCGCCGCCCGCCTTCTTGAGCCGGTCCTCCGCCGCCTGGGCCTTGCGCGCCGCCTCGGCCTTGAGCTCTTCGACCAGCTTGTACACCGGGCCGGCCGGCTTGCCCTTGTCCTTGTCCGGATGCTCGCACAGGTCGTTCGGCTTTTGCTTCTTGAGGTTGAGGTAGGCGCCGTTGAAGACGTGCAGCCCGTGCTGCGGCTGGGCGACCAGCTGGCTCACCGCGTCGACGTCCTCCGCCGCGCACGCCAGGTGGACCGCCAGGTTGCCTCGCGCGTCCCGCACGAACGGGTTTGCGCCACGCTGCGCCAGCAGCAGCCCGAGCACCTGGGAGAGAGACGCCGAGAAGATGCGCCGAGAGGATGAGAGGCTCGGCGCGAGGAGGAGGGCGAGCGCACCTTGGAGGTGGCCTGTCGCACCTCGGCCGACCGGTCCGCGCGCGGGCAGATGGTTGGCTGCTCCTTGTCCGCCTCCCACACATACAGCCCTCCGGCCGCCGCCAAGTGCAGCGCCGCCTGCCCGCAGCAACGGCCGCCGTCGCCCCACTTGACAAAAGCAGCGGCGTTGGCGCGGAGCAGCGCCTCGACGAGGGGCACCGCCGACGCCTACTCTCGGACAAGCTCGGGCGGTCAATCTCGGGTCATCTCCGGTCAATCTCAAGCAGCGCCCCGACGGCCGGGGCCTGCGGCGCCATCGCGAAGGCATGCAGCGGCGCGCCCTCCCAGCTGCTGGCCGGCTGCTGCAGCCGCCTCTTGAGCTCCGCCTGCAGCACAGGCGACACCCACGCCTGATCTCGGGCAACCTCGGGCGATCTCGAGCAGTCTCGGCTCCGCCTGCAGACAGGAGGGCCACGCCGGCCACGGCACAAACGCGAGGAGGAGCCGGCCAGTCGACTCGTGCAGATGCGAGGCTGCAGCGGGTGAGGCGGCCGCCAGAGCCGGGTCGCCCTCAAAGACGTCTCGCTGGCGAATGACGCACGCCGCAATCAGCTCGGTCGCCGCGCGCCACGCGCGCGCCTCGCTCCTGCCCGCGCCGCCGCCCGCCTCGAGGCCGAGGTGCGCCCACGCCACCCACGGAGCGCCGCACCGCACGAGCAGGTCGAGCGTGTCGAGGCCGCCCTCGCCCCGCGCGGCCGGGTCTGCGCCGAGCTTGAGCAGCGCGCCGAGGACGGGCTCGAGCTTGCGGATGGTCAGGCCGCCATCCTACTCACAGGCACTCGCATTCTCCCATCCGCAGCTCGAGCTTGCGGGTGGCCGAACCGCCCTCCTGCTGCTTCGGGGCGACGGCGCCGCACAGCTCCACAGCCAGAGAGAGGAGCCGCGAGAGCTCGTCCGCCCCGCCGCCGCCCGCCTCCGAACCAAACTCGCCGGGCGGCGGAACGCCATTGCCGCGCCCCTCCGCCGCGGCTGGAGCGCCGCGCAAGCCGGAGAGGCCGGCCGGCGGGACGGCGAGCTCGGATAGCGAGATCGGTCGGCTCGCCATTCCGGGCTCCTCCTCCTCCGGAAGAGCAATCAGCCGCTCGATGGCGACGAGCCGCTCCTCGACACTCCCATCGCTCGCCTCGCCGAGCTCGGCCTCCAGCGCGCCGATCCGCTGCGCGAGGTCCGCGCCGGTTGCGGCAGGCTCGCTGCCGAGGCCCTCCTACTCACAGCTCCCGCCGTCTGCACTCCGCTCCTCTGTTCTCGGGCGGCGGGACCGCCGCCCAAGCCCTCCTCGCACCGCGCCACCCGGCGCGCCAGCTGCGCCGCCTTGAGAAAGGGCCCCGCCTCTGGCAGCTTCGCCACCGGGGGCGCCCCCTCGAGCAGCCTCTCGAGCATGTGCGCGTGGCCGCAGCACACGGCGTACGCCAGCGGGCTCGCGCGGGTCAGCCGCCTAGAGTGTCGACACAGCACGGTGAGCCAGCGCGCCTCGCGCGCACAACACACGGGCGTGCGTGTACAGTGCAGCACGGCGGCAGTGCAGCCGGAATACAGGCGAGCACGTGCCCTCTCAAGTGCTGGGGATACAAGGGCCTGTCTCGGCATCTGGGGTCAGCCGCGTCGGAGCGAACGGCGAGTAGCCAGCACGGAGGAAGGCCTGCGCAGCCGCCGCGTCGCCCACGGCGGCCGCGAGGTGCAGCGGCGTGAGGCTGCCTCGCAGCTCCATCCCCTGCCCGTGCGCGGCCCGCGCGTCGTGTGCGAGCCGCTCCACGAGCAGCGCACCGACGCCTGCGCGATCCGCACCTAAAGGCAGGCTCCGAGAAGGCTGCGAGAAGGTGCCTGGCAGGCTCCTGGAGGGGGCGCCTCCTCCGCCCGCACCGGCGATGCTCTGCAGCGCGCTGAGCAGCGGCGGCGGCGTGCCGAACAGCTGGAAAGGCACGGCCTCGGAGGCAGCCTCGAGCACCTGCGACAGCTCCGCGGCGGAGGAGACAACGGCAACCTCGCCGGCCTGCGGGGCGAGGAAGGGGAGGGGAGGGGGTGGGGAGGTCGAGAGGGCGAGAGGGCGAGAGAGGGCGAGAGGGCGAGAGAGGGCGAGCGAGGGTGCAAGCCTTCTTGCCGCAGAGCACGGCGAGGGCGTCGCGCTCGCTGCTGACTTCGCCGAAGCACTCGCCCACACGCGCGCAGAGCCGCTTGACGGTCCGGCTGCCGGAGGCCGCGGAGGCGCCGCGCCGGCTGAGGATGAACTCGAGCATCTCCTTGAGTGGGCGCCGCCCTCCGTCCGACTGCAGCGGCGGCCTAAGGGAAGGTTCCGAGAAGGTTCAAGAAAGGCTCCTGTGCCGCCAGCCTCCGTCCCGACTGCGGCGGCCGGCTTGGGCGGGAGCGGCCGCCGGCGGGCTCGCGGCCCGCCTCCTCCTTGGTCGCCTTCTCGCGCTCGTACGCGGCCCACTCCGTGTCCACCTGTTCACAGGCACAGCCGTGAAGAGGCGCCGTTCGCAGCGACCCGCAAAAGCCCACTCCAACCTCGTCGGTGGTCGGCTCGCCCATCGCCCAGCGCGACAGCGCGCCCGCCGGCATCGCGCCCCACAGCTGCTCGAGCAGCGCGCGCCAGCCGTCCGCCTCCTCGGTGCCGCCCTCGCCGCCGTGCAGCGCCCGCGCCCACGCGTGGTCCACAGCGCGCAACACGTCGGACGACGTGTGCCAGGCCGCGCCCGAGCGGCTGCCCGCGGCAAGGAGCAGGCCGAGCGCCGCGGTGTCGCGGCGCTCGACGGCGAGCCGGATGGCGCTCTTGCGCTCGACCTGCAGATCGAGGCCGACGGTCGGGATCGCCTCGGCGAGCTTCTGCTCCCAGCCGACCGAGGAAGCCACGCTCTGCACCCCCTCCTTGACCACCTCCTTGGCAGCAGAGGCGACGCCGGCGACGGCGCCAAACATCTTGGAGACCATGCCCTCCTTCTTGGCCTTCTTGGCCTTCTTGGCCTTGGAGGCCGCCGCCTTGGAGGCCGCCGCCACGTCCTTGACCTCCGCCGGCGCCGCCGCCGCCGCCGCCGTCGACTCTGCAGTGAGCTCGCCGCCCAATGACTCGCCCTCCTCCTCGCTGTCGGACTCGAGCTCCCTCCACGTCTCCCCCTCCGCCGGCCCGCCCGCCACGCCGTCCGGCGCGCAGCCGACAACGTACCGGCGTGCCGACATCTCCTTTTGCACCTCCGCGACCACCTTCTTGGCGTCGTCCTGGTTCGCGAGCTCCGTGAGGTCGGCCTTCGCGTCGTGGAGCTGCGTCTCGAGCTGCTGCCGCCGCTTCAAGCGCTTCTGCTTGGCAGTCTTCTCCTTCTTGCGCTCCTTCTCGTCCTGCTCCATGGAGGAAAGCGACTGCGACCCATTCCCCTGCACGCCCGCGCCGCCGTCGAGGCTAACACGGCTTGAGCCGGGGCGGGAGGCATGAGGCGACCTACGCAGAGGCAGGCAGGCGTAGAGGGACGCGGTGCTGGGAAGAGGAGGAGAGGACGAGGCACACCCAGAGACAGGCTCGGCGGCGGCAGCACTCGGCGCGAGGGCGGCGGTGAAGGCCCGCTCTGCGGCCTTCTCGGCATCCTCGACCGAGGCGCCCGCCTCCTTCGCCGCCCTCCTCGCCGCCGCCGCCTTCTCCATCGCCTCCCCCTCCAGGAGCTGCTGCGCCTTTGCGAGCGACCCGGCGCCCGTGCGCGCCTCCCACTGCTTGGTGGCCTTGCTCACGCCCTTCTCCGCGGCTTCGAGCGCCTTCTTCGCCTCCTCCTTGGCGGCCGTCGCCGCGTCGAGCTCCTCCTTGGTGGCCTTGGTTGGGGTGGCGAGAGCCGTCTGCAAACAAGGTCGGAGATCATGGGGCGTGCACCGATCGGGGAGCGGGCGACCGGCGTATAGGGCACCTTTTGGCCGGCGTTCAGCCGGCTCTCCATGTACGACGCGCGGACCTTCATGAAGGCCGCGTTCGCCTCCTCGTACTGGCTCTTCTTCGCCGCGAGCGCCTCCTTGAGCTTCTCGAGGACTGTCGACCCGTCGGCCGCAGGCGACTCGGGCTCCGCCTCCAGCGGCTCCAGCTCCTCCGGCTCAAGCTCGGCAGGCCCCATGTCCTCGATCATCTTCTTCATCCGGCAGAGCAGCGGCCCTCGCGCGTCGTTGACGTGCGATCTCGCGCGCTCGAGCAGCTTCGCGGCCTTGCGGAAGCGGCCCTGCTCGAGCAGGTCGAGGTGCTGCCTGCGGAGCAGCTTCAGCTGGTCGCAGAGCGCCTCCCACGCCTGCTTCTCGTCCGTCTGCACCAGCAGCCCCTTCACGTTGCCGAAGCGGGCCAGCCTGCCGCTCTCCTGCAGCTGCGACTGAAACTTGGCGAGCGCCTCCTTGACCAGCTCAAACGACGTTGGAGTTTGGAAGGCCGTTGCTCTCAGCTCGAAGTCGTGGAGCGCGTCGGTGACGCGGCTGTGGTCGAGGTGGGCTCGCTCTGAGTTGTTGCGCGCGAGGAAGCCCCACTCCTTTTGCTTGTTCTCGTCGAGGCCGCCCCAGCTCTGATCGAGCTTCGCCACTAGAGTCGACGCCTGCTCCTCTGCAGCGCTCAGCAGCGTCGTCGCAGCACCCTTCGTCATCGACTTCGCGCCTTGCTTTGCGACCTTTTTGCGGAAGGACTGAAGGTCTGCAGACCTCGGCGCCCACTGGCTGTCCTTGTCCTGGCCCTTCTCTCGCCGCAGAGCGGAAACGACGTCGGGGTG